ATAGATAGATAGATAGATAGATAGATAGATAGATAGATAGATAGATTGTTAGATTGATAGATTGATAGATAGATATAGATATAGACATGTGTGTGTTTAAAAATGCATTTATTTATTTGAATATTTTATATAGATGTCCTTTTAGGATTATTCAAGACAACATAGGGGTTAGACAGTAAACAATAACATTGTTTCCCTCCTTCCCTTTCCTTCCCTCTCACCTTCTTTTTTTTTCCCCCTTCCTTCCCTTCTTCCCTTCCCAACAAGCAGGTAAGTGGCTGCTAGTGGATGGAGGAGGGAGCAAGGGATTGCAAGACTGGCTGGGAAACTGTCACAGAACATTGAAACGGGTCATGTGATCACAGCAGCAGTCTAGATGCAGGCAACAGCAGCCACAACTTTCCCAAATTTTATTCCCTCGGGAGTCATGAGTCCCAGATTTAGGACACATTCTGCAAATTAGCCCATTTGAAGAATCTTGGTTCAAAAATTGTTGCCCTTAGATACACTGTTTTGCCCGGTTAAAGATCATGACGGTGACACTTCTAGCAGTATATAGATCAGCGGTTCTCAACCTGTGGGTCGGGATCCCTTTGGGGGGTCGAAATGACCCTTTCAAAGGGGTCACCTAAGACCATCGGGAAACACATATTTTCAAAAAAATACAGAAAGCATAAAATAATTTTATGGTTGGGGGTCACCACAACATGAGGAACTGTATTAAAGGGTTGCGGCATTAGGAAGGTTGAGACCCACCGATATAGATGCTGTGTTACAAATGATTATTTCTTCCAGATTTCCCTGAGTTCAGATTCCACATTCTTTGAAATTTCTCCAACTGGAACCATTACTACTTGGAAGACATTTGATTTTGAGAAAGATCCACCAAGGTAAGAAGATCATATTAATGATCCAGAAACCAGGAAATGATAGTTTGATGTTTTAACCACGGTTTAGCTACTAAAGCAATCCTACATCTATTGTGTTTGCATGTGTTTATTTATATTGTATTGTGTTATTTGTATTTATTTATATTACATTGTATTATTTGTATTGTATTCATTTTGTTTTGATAGCTATACATGGAATATTTTGTGTTTTATTTCGTTTTGACGGCTTTTAAATTGGATATTTTGTGTTTTATTTTGTTTTGACGGCTATACATGGAATATTTTTGTGTTTTATTTTGTTTTGACAGCTATACATTAAATGTTACCATAAAAGACAGCCTTGGTGTTAGCGTTAAGAGGACCCTAATGGTCAAGATCATAAATGTTATTGATCGAGATCCTTACTTCGTCACGTAAGTAGAAAAATCCCATTTGCATCAATGTTTTTATATTTAGGTGTGACGATTGAGCCTAAAGGTCTGGGAGGTGCCTTCAGATCAGATCTTAAAAATGTAATCAGCTATATATTGCTCTATTTTACTTTTGCATGTAGGGATATCTGTGAAAGGTTAAAAAAGTTAGATGATGGCTACAATTGCATGAACAGAATAACAGAATAACAGAGTTGGAAGGGACCTTGGAGGTCCTCTAGTCCAGGGGTCAGCAGCCTTAAACACAGAGCCACAAAGGTCCTAACCGGAAGCCCCTCATTTAATTCTGAAGCCGACCGGAAGTCCGGTTTCCCCACCATAGAGTCTCTTCCTAGCACGGCGTCCTTTTTCCTCTACGCGTCCTAACCGAAAGCCCAATCAATTGTGGATCCGACCAGCTACCGGGAGCCTCAACAGAGGGATCAAAGAGCCACATGCGGCTCCAGAGCCACAGGTTGCTGACCCCTGCTCTAGTCCAACCCCCTGCTCAGGCTGGAAACCCACTTCAGACCAATTTCAGACAAATTGTTATCCAACATCTTCTTAAAAACGTCCAGGGTTGGAGCATTCACAACCTCTGGAAGCAAGTTGTTCCACTGATGAATTGTCCTCATTGTCAGAAAATTTCTCCTTAGTTCTAGGTTGCTTCTCTCCTTGATTAGTTTCTACCCTTTGATAATGCAAATAAAAAAAATCTTGATTTTCAATCCTGAGATTGCAGTTTTCACCTTGACTTTCCTGTTTGCATCCAGACACCATGCTAAAGAGATTTCTGTTACTTTTCATAAAGGGGAGGAGGAGGAGGAGGAAAAGGGAGGAGAGGAAGAAGAGAAAGGAAGAAGAGGAGGAAGAAGAGGAGGAAGAGGAGCAGGAGCAGGAGGGAGGAGCAGGAGGAGAAGGAGAAGAAGAAGAAGAGGAGGAGGGGGGGAAGAAGGAGAAGAAGAAGAAGAAGAAGAAGAAGAAGAAGAAGAAGAAGAAGAAGAAGAAGAAGAAGAAGAAGAAGAAGAAGAAGAAGAAAAAGAAGAAGA